CCTCCCCTTTCCGCAGGGTGTGTGAAGGAGCTGCGATGGTGCGTTCTGTGAGCCCCGAAGCGGAGCCCAGCTGATCCCGGCAAGCGTCCCCAAGATGAGCTCATGGTTGGTCCTGCCCGCCTTCCTGCTATGGGGGTGGGCGGCGGGCGGGGTCACACTTTCTCTGTCTTGTAGGCGTTGTGAAGGAGGCCCTGGCGGGTACACGTGCCCCAACTCAGAGAGTGCAGAGGCGTTTGTGCTCAAGACACTGCCAGATCAGGTTCTTCATGTGGAGTGTCGCAACAATATGGGGGACTTTTCACTGTTGAAGAACTGCAATTTCACCTCATTCAGAAAGTTTGAGTTTGAGAGATGCCCACTGCCTGGCGTGGCGTTTGGCGAGGTATTTCGGAGGATTGGAGTGCCAAGCAGTGATGTGAAATACCTCAGCTTCACGGCAGGCTCCTGGAATGCCTCCTCGGGTCTGGAGGAATGGCACCTGGACTCCCTCACAAACCTTCAAACGCTACAGCTTGTTGACAACAACATCACTTCCTTCCCGCCTGCTCTGCTGACGAATACTCCCAAACTCGAGTTCTTTCGATTTATAGGAAATCGCGTGGGCAGTCTCCCGCACACCATGTTTGCAAGCACACCGAATCTCGTCATGGCAGACCTCGGGAACAACGAACTCACCAGTGTACCTGAAGACCTCTTCGCCAACCTCACGAAGCTGCTTAATGTCAGTCTCTGGAACAACCAGTTGACCGATATACAGAGAAGCTTATTTTCGGATATCCCAGGCCTCCGATTTTTAGACCTGAGAGACAACTTCTTGAGTGGCTTCACAAATAGGCAATTTCAAGGAATGAAAATATTAAGGAGACTAAACCTCGGAGGGAATAGAATCAGCAGTTTGAACGAGGATTCATTTAAGGATCTCAGGAGCTTGGAAGAACTCGAGCTTCATTCGAACTGGCTTGAAAGCTTACCCACAGGCATTTTTGACAACCAGAGGCTGATGAAGAAACTTATCCTGAGAAATAACAGTTTAATAAATTTGCCACAGAGAATATTCCAAAAATGCGAATCATTAAATATGCTTGATCTGAGCTTCAATCATTTGCAGTACATAGAAAGATTACAGCTTCCCAGTCCGAAAACTTCTCTAACATATCTCAATTTGGGAAGCAACAACATATCCTTTTCCGACACTGGGGCCCAGTTTATCCCGTACGACTTCCCTCTCTCTAACCAGTTGGAGCTGCAGCACATTTTCCTAGACAACAACAGGATCAACCATATTCCTACGCCATTAAACAATTTGTTTGTTGACCTGAAAACCGTCGACCTTTCTGGAAACTTGATTAGCTACTTGGAATTTCTCTCCATTCACTTCGTGTCGGACGGCGTCAAACTGAACTTGAAAAACAACCAAATTAAGGCAATTAATCTGCGTCGGTGGAAGCATTTTCCGTTTAATGAAATGATCAAGAATGTTACATTGTCACTGGAGGGAAATCCATTTACATGTAACTGTATACTTTACATATTTGCAACGATTGTTCAGGGAAAATTGAATGACCATAGTAAAACCTCATATCAGATATTAATTGATGATGCTGATAAAATAACATGCATCAGCTTAGAAGACCGGCAAATGCATGTGAAGACCCTCGATTTAAAATTCCTGACATGCAACCTGGACTTCTGCTCGGACAACTGTACTTGTTCATGGCGTCCATATGATGATATGTTGACTGTAGACTGTTCTTTCAAAGACATGAAGGAAATTCCCATGCCGACCAAGGACATGTACCAGCTCAAAACAAACTATTCCGTAACCCTAAATCTGATGAACAACAGCCTGGCAAACTTCGACGGCCTCGACCATCCCTTTTACACCAGACTGGCTAATCTGACCATTCCCTACAATAAAATCTCCCACATCAATGAATCAGACCTTCCAGGCAACTTAAAAGTCCTGGATGTGCGAGGGAACAACCTGACCTTCTTATCAGACACCACTCTGGACTACCTCAATGTGACCGACGTGGTCCTCAGCCTTGGAGACAACCCCTGGACTTGCAATTGCGACATGATCGACTTCTTCACCTTTCTGCAAGTCCCTGAGAGGAAGGTGACTATCGGAAATTCGTTATTTGTTTCATAAAAGATGTAAATTGCGTTTATTTCGCCTGCATTTTTATTTATTTCAAGCACAGCCTCTTATAATATTTTGCTTTATTGCAGAAAATCATTTGAGCTTCCTATATAATGAAAGAAGTAACAATAAAAAATGGTAATCACAATCAGCTTACTCAAATTTCATATAAAGTAATAAAGTAGAAGACGACAACTAACTTTTTTTTTTGTATTTTACAAGTAACTTTGCTTTCTAGGTATTAGACTCCAACAACATTAAGTGCGCCAGTGATGGAGAGCTGCTGTTGAGCATCAGTGAATATACCATCTGTCCATCATTCAGAAATCCCATGGTTATCGTGACAATCGTGCTCATCACAGTCTTCCTTCTCCTGTTTGCGGTTCTTGGTAAGCAGTTTAGTTTAAATTCCTGAACATGGATTAGAAGTGTAAATATTTATGATAATGAACTTCATATGACGTTTTCTAGTCTTTGCCACAGTAGACATTGGTCAAGCAAGTTAACCTTTTGTCCCAGGTACGATGAGTTTCTACAAATACAAGCAAGGCATCAAAGTGTGGTTGTTTACCCATCGCATGTGTCTTTGGGCCATAACAGAAGACGAATTAGATGCCGATAAGAAATACGATGCCTTCATCAGCTATTCTCACAAGGTACACATACTCCAGATAACCATTGACTGTTACATGTGTTAGTAATTTATACTTGTGGGGCAGTTATATTTCTTCGTTTTCTTTCATTTTAGATCACAAATATTCAGATTGTAACAATTTATTTATTTATTATTATGGAAATTGAGATCAGTTATGGGCGAAGATGGTTCACACCGATGATGATTATTCCTAATTTCTAGGATGAAGAATTTGTCAACACCGTCTTGGTGCCAGGACTGGAGTCAGGCAACCCCAAGTACCGCATTTGCCTTCACTACCGCGACTGGATCCCAGGAGAATACATCCAGAACCAGATCCTGCAAAGTGTAGAGGACAGCCGTCGAACTATTGTGGTGCTTTCGTCAAACTTCATCGAGAGCGTGTGGGGCCAGCTGGAGTTCAAGGCGGCTCACTCCCAGGCACTGCAGGACAGAACTAACAGGATAATAGTCATTGTGTATGGCCAGGTTAGTGGGGACAGTGCTTTGCTTAGTGTGTTCTTGGTTTCTAATACTTGTGAGCCATGAATGCAAGCAGTATTTGAACAATTGATTATCAGATTTTTATCCTAGGTATTGTAGATAGGAGTGGTTTGAAAAGTCGCCTTTGTATTCTTGGTAAAAAAAAAAAAAAAAAAACAGTTGCGCATTGTAGAAATATATTGTAAGTCTGGGAACTAATATTCAGAGATCGGGTAATAGGCCTACATTGCCCACATTTTTCCTGTAACCGCTATATCTTTTCAGGTTCCTCCCGAGAGCGAGTTGGACGAGAAGTTACGACTGTACATCTCCATGAAGACCTACGTCAAGTGGGGAGACGCTAAGTTTTGGGAAAAGCTTCGGTACATCATGCCACACCCACAGGAACTTATACAGAAGAAACAGCAAAAGAACAGAAATGCAGACAAGCTTGAACTTGTTAAATCAAACTCGAAAAGTGTATAACGCAAATTGAACCCAAAACTTTTTTTCCGTGTACATGAGTAGCTGGACTACTGTCTTCACAGTGATGACTCGTTCAAAGAAAGTGTTCCAGATATGAAAACATATATAGACAGATGAATATATATATTTATTTAGAAAATTATATGAACTTATTCCCAACAGTTCCTCAGATAGTAGGAATGTGGATACAAATGTTGTATGCAGCTAAACTTCTTACAACATTGACTTCGTACCATTGGTTGTAATTTGCCACTTGGCTGTGACCTGTATTGTAAACCAGGTACATATGTATATAGCAGGTTTATGAATATGTATATCATTCACCTTTCATTTTCATCTACAACTGAAGTGATTCATTAAACATTGTTCATGAGTATGATGGTCTTGTATCTTTGATATTTTTTGATAAAACTATTGGATTTTTGTACAAGAGACGATGGAAAAAGCAAATAATTTTGTTTACAAAGAGGAATCTAATTTTGCACAGTAACAGTGCTTTCATTAAATTAAATTTCAAAGTGTGTGCTTCTGTTTCAGCTTTTGATACTGGGACTTGCATAGGTAGTGCCGAGTAAATAGCTGCTTGAAACTAATTTTCTGCATATGACTCCTAAGGATAGGATGAGAATGGTGTGTGTTAAAGAGCTGTGGTCAGTAGATTTAAAAATTCCGAAATGGTGGAAGGTCTTTAAAGTTATTGTTACGGTATACAGGACAAGTAACTTTTAAGCTTGAACATGCAAATTTCTTGATAGTTTGATAACGTGAGCAAGGGAATACCACAATGCTCCATAGATGTGGAAAATGCTGTAAAGCAAGGCCATTCATAATTGCTTTAAGGCTTTCATCAAGGCTTCCAGTATTATCCAAGCAAGGGACCAGTTAACGACTTTTCTGTAATATGGGCAGGACCATTATATCCGAATAAAAATATGAAAGACTTGCAAATATTTTATTGCCCAAGATGTGAAACACTCATTGTATAGTTGTATTGTCAGCCAGAATATGGGAATTCAACTAATGTGTGATGCACAATGAGTTGCTTATATATCTTATTTTTGTACCACAAGTTACTTGTGTCTAATATGAGGAAGTTTTACCAGGGATTCAAATGTACTCGAGTTAGAAATGTATATAAAATGTCAAAATGCATGTTTGGAGTCAAAACAGCTGCACACATTACCTCCCTAGTATATGTACGGCCAAGAATCAATATGTTTTATACCCAATTCTAGCTTATCCTACACAATCATGCAGATAGACCTTTATGACTCAGTGCTAGCGGGTATATAAGTTGCCAGTTCACCTACAGTTCACCTACTATTCGCTTGTGCCCATGATACGAGCTGAATCTCTCAGCAAGATCCAGACACCTCGGTTCAGACAGTGACCGGTATATAAATTCAATACCATACGCAGAAAGTTAGACCGAGTGTAGTGGACATGCACTCAGTTGTAAAATCACCAACCAAGAGGGGAACACTAGATTGTGATTTAGTAGCAGACCGCATGTAACTTTGTTTATATAATTTAAGTTTTCTGTATACACTCATGTTGCCATTGCTTGGGGCTGTGACTGGATGACGTGTCATGATGTTCCTTCGATCGAAATTACCCCCAGAATGGAGTAATTGGAGACTAACTGGAGAAATAACACTGGTCACTCACCACTAAGGGTCTCTCATTTTAGAATTAAGAGAATCTTCAACTACAAATAGAACCAAACGGACAAGAAAACTTTTATTTGTAAAATGAATTTATTAAAATCGCATTATAAATACAAATCCACCAGCTAAACAAATGGTCAGCTAGAAAATAAAGCAAAACCTTTTCTTATCCCTTCGTCTTATTTGGCGAGAAGAAAGACGGTTGGACTATTTTCACTTTCATATAGATGAACAAAAGCACAAGAACTAGGATGATTATGATACACATTAACGCCATCACAGTTCCAAAGAATGTAGAGGCTGTGTAGCAGTTGCTGGAATTTTGGTTTACAGGAGCCGTAAGTCTAATGGCTGAAAGTAGAGAAATGTGGAAAATGAAGACAAGTACACTCGATTTACCCATTAATAAGAATTTGTGAACTGGAAATTCGACTTAAGGGACATCACAAAAAACACAAAACAGAGCTAAAGTTTCAGTAATTACCTATATACACACAGGATAAGCACATCCTATATATAACCAATACAAAGGCCTTGGGTAGCACTTACTCTCCGCGCCTGATTCGTCGGGCATGTACACCTCTATGCTGCGGTAGAGATTCACTCTGTCCAGCTCGACGGCGCCTTCGGTGTTGGCATTAGCGTCCTTCTCGACCGCTCGACGTCGCCGCCTGTGCTCTTCCGGCGAAACACGGGGGTTGAAGGCCTCGCTGGCAGGGGGGAGGAAGAGGGGGCTCAGTTGCGCGATAATGGAGGGGGTGGAAGAAGTCCGTTTTATCTTTTCTTTAGTGGGGATTAATGTCGAGTGAAATAAAAATGATTCCTCCCTTTAAGCTATTGCAGTACAACCCTGTGCTTCTACGGAGAATAAAAGATTATCGCCTGAGCTCGTCTCAAAATCAACTCCATGAGAAAATGAAAAATACAAAAGGGGTGCAGAATATAATGGTAAAATTACATTCTAAACTAACTATAGTTGCAATTGTCGACAAGGCCTTTTAGCAGGCAGCTTAACTGAAAACGTACTACATTATCCAACAATATGTAACACCTAAACCATTTTAAGATCTTGCTTCAGCTGACCTGCAAGGCGGCGTCTCCTCGCATGCCTTGTAACAGACTTGGACATCGCACTGAATGACAATCTTCATGGAGGTTGGGAATCTGAAAGCCTAGACAGTACACAATAAATATAAATAATCGAATGGATACCTGTTGCATTGGGTATCACCTGAGCAGCTTTCAGAAATTTTGTCTTGTGTCAAGCCAAAGTACTACCGGGGGAAACTAACCTTGAAGTGTGCATAGTGCAATGTAACCATATCTCCATTTGGCGAATTGTGCTTCTCTTTGTAGAAATGCGAAAATATTTTGGGCTTTACCGAACACCCATTCTCGATCACAGTGGCTTCTCCACTGAATACTCTGGCCGCGGCAGACACGTCCTTATGGTCGCTCGTGTCCCACTCTATACGGCTCTTTTTCTCCCCTCCTGTCGAGTCCATGCATTACGAAAGAGGCGGCTTTAGTTCATTATAGCGAGGCCCTTTTTTGTGCGTATGGGTGGATTATTTTAAAATATCAAGTTTATGAAGTCAGTAGGTAAGTACCCTTCCCCCAGACGTACCATCGACGGCGTAACAGGTGAGGATGTTGGAGTCAAACCAGTAGACGTTGTCGGAGAGGGTGAAGATGAGCGTCAGCACGTCGCCCACATACACGGACTCGTCGTTCAGCGGCGGCGCCTGGGGGCCCTCCCCGCGCTGGATCTCCATCCACATTTTGGGGCCTAGTTTGGTCAAATAAAAGTTAGTTTACGAGGGCCTGGTTTATATAAAGAAGCCAAACATTTCCAGTAGGCATGTTAATGGGGAGTGATTATATAGCGCGAGTTAGATAATGGAATGCATCCTTAAAATTCACATTTTTCAAATCATTCCTTTTATTAAGAAATTCACATCCTTCGACAAAACACAATACATCTCTTGACTACACACAAACCAACATATTGTAACAAGACCATTCTAACAAAGAAACAACTATAACAAGATTACACGAAAGAAAAAAAAAAACTAGATCATTATCACAACTACAAAATTACACGAAAAAAACCTAGATCATTCTAACAAAGACAAACAACTAAAACAATATTACACGAAAGAAAAAAAAATCTAAACTCAAACGCCACCCGGATGTGTGCTGGTGTGAAAGGACGACTGCAGATCGCGCAATCCCAGATTCCATTCAACCGTCTTGTTGTAATCGTCTGGTCTTTCACATCTCACGATCACGCTGGTATCATCCTCTCCTATTATGTCTCGGTCCCACTGAATGACGAGGCGGTGCTGGGGAAGGGAGGGCTTCATCAGTTTATGGGGAAAATGGGGGGAGAAAATAAAGAGGAAGGAAGGAAAGAAAAAAAGAGGAAGGAAAGAAATAAAGGAAGAGGAAGGAAAAGGAAGGAAGAAAGAAATAAAGAAAAGGAAGGAAGGAAAGAAAAATAAAGAAAAGGAAGGAAGGAAAAAGAAAAAGAAAAGAAGGAAGGAAAGAAATAAAAGAAAAAGGAAGAAGGAAAGAAAAGAAAAAGGAAGGAAGGAAGGAAGAAAAGAAAAAAAGGAAGGAAAGAAATAAAAAAAAAGGAAGAAGGAAGAAAAAAAAAAGGAAGGAAGGAAAGAAAAATAAAAAAGGAAGGAAGAAAAAAATATTAAAGAAAAGGAACTGGCATATATACATACAAAAAAAAGTCTTACGTCAATGATAGGGTCTGTAAAGGTGCGTCCGTGATAGATAATGGTGTGTTCCTGGTCTCCACAAGTCCCATGCTTGAGCAGAATTTCCGCCTTCCAGGAATTGTGGCCAGCGAAGAGAAGACACTTTTCAAAATTGTTGTGTGGATAGATGTACCCGTGGAAAGGCACAGAAAACCTGCATGGGCGGGAGACAATACATGGAGAGATGTTCAGATATGCAAATAATGTATTCAAGGCTTTAAAAAATGATAAATTTCAATAGATCTTTCGTTATCTGGAGTATTTGTTACATGCTTTCAAAAGAGGATGTGGCATTTCTCAGATGAATAACGTTAACCACAAAAAAACGGTATCACTTTTGAAACCCCATTTCGAGTAATTGTATGCATGCTACTATGAGCTAAAGCATCAAATTGCACAATAGAATACCACACAATAATACTATTTAAATCTTATGCTTATCAATAATAATAATTTCCTCCATTTTGTTACCCTAAAGACCCGAGACATTGATCTAAGTCGACTTACTTGAAGGTAACAAGCATGTGCGTTTTCAGACAGTCCACGTGTGTGTCCTCAATTCGCCTCCTGGGATTGGCGAGGTAGCCAGTGTGCGGCAGAGAGCTGGCGGGACCGGAATACTGTGTCCGGGTGTTGTGTGTGGGTGTTGTGGGTGTTGTGGCTGTAGTGCACAGGGCCGCTGCCGCCATCGTCAATACCTGCGTAATCAACAGGGGGCGTATTTTTAATATGGAGGTCTAAATGGTGCTAGTTTTAATACACGTCCATCTGAATATTCTGTTTCGTTATACAGAAAATTATACAAAAACGTACTAGGAAGTATTTTGAGTTTGAAATACGGAAGCAGAAGGGTTCAGTTAGTAGAAAGAGGAACTCGGCAGGGTTTAAGATCGTAGCAATTTTATGAAGTGAGGGGTAATCGGAGTCCCTTGGACTCTCGTTCTTATAGAAATCGAAGAACTTCCATAATTGTCTTACCATCTTACCAACCAGCATAATTATTACCATACAAAATGTATTTGCATGGTGTTACAATGTCTTTCCATTTTCCGGTTCACATTTTAGAAGTACCATCCTCGGATCTGCCCTCATGAAGGTGTGCACAGAAACCGCAGTACACGAAATGGAGGCTTTCTTTCGCCTTGAAATTGCTGACGGACAAATGACTACTGGTCTTGGGCTGCATTGTCGAGTATTCCCCCAAACAATGGCAAGACCCCGGTTCAAAGCCCTTTTGAGCTAGCTGCAATTCTCGGACAACATAGCCTTTATGTCATCGACGACCAACTAGAGGAGCTTAATTAACTGGGTCAGTTGTGATCCACCAGTGCAGGAGGTTGTTCTGTCCACCTGAAGTACGTCCAGGGACCCGAAAGTCAACTATCCGGCAGACATGCTCTATACCTTGGGTGAATAAGTCCATCACCACGTTATGACTAAGATGGCCACCCTTCTCCAGCAAAGTAGACGGCTATAGTCCAGCTGATAATGTTCCCATACAAAGCTTTGCCTTTTAGTGAAGACAAGATGTCAATACAGATACGGTAATGACACCGTTAACCGTGATCACCAGGAGAGGGTGATGAACGTGTAGTGGTGATACTGACAACGAATTTAGTGAAGTGTGTAATGTAATGTTCCCCTAACACATGAGCATTCAAATTTGGCGTTATTCCTGGTGGGGGATGTAAAATTTGCAGATTATAATAATGACAGTCAGTGCTTTCAGATATCAAAGTATAACAATTATTACAAGTTAAGTATATTTACTCCTCAGGAAGAAGTCCATAGCGGGGAGGTCTTTATAATGGGTCAATTGTCAGGTAGAAAGGATCGTATAATCTATGAATTTAAGACATTACATAGTATCACTTATAGTCTTTTACCTGTGAATGTAGTGTTATTACTGAGTAATACGTATTAACGTCATCAGGAATTGATTGGCCAATTCTTGAAAATAGTCACCTCTTGTGGCTATTTTCAAGAATTTGCATATTTTGTATAGAAAAACACCTTGTAAATGGCTTGTTTTACTATGAGTATTTCTGATGTAATTCTACAGAACCTCAGACGATATCACCCTACCCGTACCCAGCAGAATAACCTTGTTTTCATAATGTGACCCCTGTTTACCACAGAGGTCCAGTGGAGCTAAAATAACCTGCATTTGAAGAGTTCTCAGCTGAATGGAAAAATATTAGCGTGAGGGCTGGTTTAAAACAGTGCTAAGAAAGCTGAACATTGCAGGATTTCATGAATGTTAGGGTACCACAACTGATGCTTACAATACTATGTAAGTGACGAGTTTGGGCAAAGTAGCAGCAACACTATTAGAAAAACTGATTTATCTTTTTAATCCTTAAGTAATTTTAATGTAACTACTTATCAAAACTGTAAAATCCATATAAAAAGGAATACCAAGGGACCTCAATGTCAAAATTCAACATAATTCATTCCACCACACATTTTACCATGCAGCAGCTGCAACAAGGGATACATTGGAGACAAGAAATGTGCTATATGAATTGAGAAGTACCCATTATCATAGTTCCTTTTGTGCCACATGAGAAGCACCATTGTCTACGGTTTGGCACAAGTGTATTAGATGCCCTAAGGAAACAGTAATGGGTCTATCAATTGTATTTTCCTATCCCTCCTTTCATGGCTTTACTTGGACATTCGCCTGCAAGGTTGGGTAGCAAGTTAGGTTAAAACTGTTCATTACAAACAAATTCTAAAACAATTTTCTAACTAATTAGATAATTAGTAAATTATGTAAGCGTCTTAATTTCACTTCTGGAATTATGAAAATTATTTACTTTTGAGAGTCATCAATGTCAACCACATCTAGTTTGTACAGCAGCATTGTCGGCTACTCCTACAGTGATAAGGATGTACTCTGGAAGCTAACTAAAGGCTGCACCTATTCCTCTGCATCAGCCAAGCTGTACCTCCACGGTGACTTACCCTTCTAGAACAATAACCAAAGAGAAAGATCAGAGTACAACATCCTCTATGATAAAGAAACTTCTAGTTAAGATTCTTAGAAGCTAGAGGAGCTCTTCAGTGACATGCAATTAAATTAGTACCATGGGTTTTCTAGCCACGATTTTTATCCCGCGACCTTTGCTGCAAACAATTCCAAAATTCCATCTGTATGGAAGTTGAATCCTCATGGTCAAGAGAAAGTTATAACATGGTAATATTGGAAATGCAACCCCACGCCTAATTTAAAGAATCTGAGCTTACCATGTCTTAGAACACCTCATTCTATGATGGTTCTCTTTTATACCATTTTCTGCGCAAATTGATAATAACGAAGTTAGAGAGTATAAAATCCACGATTTCCAGGAACCACGGTAACCTTCCGCCTCCAGCGCTGCAACAAAATGACAAAAGTCTTTAACAGCGACAGGAAATCGGACGTATTTGTAGCAGATGACGTATGCGAGGGAAATCAAATGAGCCAATTAGATTCGTGTGTGAATGTGACGTGGACAGACACTCAATAGAACCAATCAGATAGAATAGATAGGAATAGATCATCACGTAACAATATAAACTGGGGCTTGGAGAAGGCAGTTGAAATTCAAATCAGTTCCATCATGGCTAGACAATGTAGGTTGTGAGAAAAATTATTGATTTCACTGAAATATCAACAAAATAACGAAGCAAGCTTACTAAATCTACATCACGCCGTCTGTTCTGCCAGTGGAAGTAAAATGTCCGCAATTTAAGACCGTGTCATTACAGAAATGACAGACCAGTGGGTTTGTGGTGCATGGAAAGGGATTAAAAAAAAAAAAGAAAAAACGAAGAAAGCAGTGTCACTTTGCTGTAAGCGAACAATTCCCGCTAACAACGACCTGAAATACCCCCGACAATCCCAGCGACCCGCAGCCTGGCCCGTCTGGAGTTGAGGCTGAAGGTAAGACGAGGTTAACACTGTTCCTGGGTCTGGGCCTTCCTGAACACTGGGTGAAGATTTAGATCAGCGGGGGGGGGGGCACTGGGCAGCCCTCCCTGATAAGGGGGTTAAGGGGGCGGAACCCCGTATACAACCCGGAAATGTGTTAATATACTAGTACTCTACCGATATTTCTCGAAATTCCTAGATATGTAGGCCTATCATGCCCTCCCAGCTATCGAGACCAATATCGCAGTTATGTTTCGTTTGCAAAGGAAAGGAGTGCTAGATTCGTTCGAAAAATGACGAAAGCTATTGGAAAATTATTCTGTTCACCCAAAAAATGCTGTGGGCTTGCATTTCCAAATTTACCCATCTGTCCACCTCCCCAATACCATGGAAAACTAATAGCCTACTATTAGGTGGAGCGTTGTGGCCTGGCCCTACTGCTGGGTGTGGGGGCAGCGACTGGCCCTCTGGCACGGTGATCCGGCCGTGGTTGTCGATTTCCTGGAGGCCTTCAGAAATTTCTGCAGGAGCCACCCGCCCTGTCACTGGCTGCTTCGTATCATCGGCGGGAGGCTTTGCATCCACAGCAGCCAGCACCTGAAAGGAAAGGGGTTTCTTATTCTTGCCTGATCCAATGAGCAAGTGTATTTAAGCAAGAAAAAAAAAATAAAAAAATGTGCTTTTATGAAATTCTTACTGATGTGCAACAGACAATTTTTATTTAATATTTGCATTCCTTCACGCCCTGTACCCATGCGAAAATATTACTGTAAATACAAGGCTACCTTTCAATAAATAAACTATAATCTAGATTTCATCAAACGTCAACAAAGACTTAGGTTACATTTTGGGGCGAATTTTAACGGTATGAACGTATAAGGTAGGAGAAACTGACGCTCTTTTAGAAGACAAAATTGTAATTACTGGTACAAGAAATAATCTGCAGAAACGAACAATAACGCCAAATAAAGGAAAGATCGCAGAAAGTGTAGGTCACAGCCTAAGTGCATACGAAGTGAAGACAATGTTTCCCGGGGGGGGAGTCTCCCATCAACCCTCCCCTCGCCCAATAATGGCAATTTAGATTGTAGAATAATTTTTTGGACGTGCAATTAGAAACCATCTCCGGCGATTGCGTCCATACTGTAAAGGATTACCCGACGGGTAATACATTTGTCAATACTTAATTGGTATTAGTTAATTAATAAACATCCGATCCATAGTTTTGAAGAAAATTAGATTTGAATTCTAGAGAATCCGGAAAAACATTGATCATACCAGGTGGCTGGTCACTGTTGCTGTTCACTTATGTAAATCTAATAGTTCATGTTTTTTTTTGTACAATATTTATATTGCGAACGGCATATATAGTGAAAGAGGCTGGGGGGGGGGGGATTGAGGCAATACGGGATAGTATATCCACGAGTAAAATTCAGATGAATCAGCAGTAGACAAAATCCAATGACGGCGATGGTTTGTGTCCGACAAGCAAGAATATTAATCAATGAGAAGGCAGAATGTGAATGAAAATGTTGAAAAGGTTTGCCCAAGTGAAGATAGAAAGAGGTCACCGACCATACCTTTGAAGCTCCCTGGAAACCTAAGCTATTTTCCATCATAGGTTCCCTCAACCTTCCTAAGCCTCTCTAAGTCTGTGGTTGCATAATTATCCTCAGATCTCGACGATTCATTCGCATATGAAAACGCCCAGAATCGTTGAAATCATTGGATTCCCTGCAGAAAATCATCAAAATTGTTTCGAAAGCAAGCCAGGGGTGTATCGCTCCCGGTAACAATTAGCGGTACAGGTCAACTGAACTCTCCCTTTCTGAATTCAATTTTGCTTCGTAATTCAGGAGGCAAATTTAGATAAACAGCCAAACGACTCCAATGGCTTTCCTTCCGACATCGTTTCAGCAACCGAGAAATATAAATACGATGGAATTAACATTACCTGTACGACCATCTATAACCAACACCCATTTAACGAAACTGAATAGTTTTAGATCCACACAGCCTTCAGTTAGAAGGAAAATTTTACAGTACTGTATTGGACATAATGAACGAAAACGAAAATTTTCTATGGTTTTACCTCCGCAGCTTGATAATAACCAAGTTATGAGGTATGTAAGGAAAAAAATACCGGGAGGGCTGTGTGAAACTGAAAAATTACCAAAGAAATATCCTGTACTCACAAATAAAAGGAGATACAACGCCATGATGCTTATTTTCGGCGCCATCTTCCCTGCGGCCTCGATCCTGTTACTTGTCCGTTGGTGTTTCCTCCCCAGTGGCCTGTCGGTGGTCTGGCGGAGTGGGCAGGCGTCCTTCCGCGTCCTAGGCCTCTCTCGGTAGGATGCAAACAGCCTTGTTCCCTGCAAACGACCCTTTGTGATTGTTCGCTAGTCCTTTGTGAGATTTTTCGTATTTCATTTTCATTATTTATTTTTGGCGAATGTGTTTTTTTATCGTTTCTTTGTTGGTTTCAAAGATTTGTTTTAGAATCGTGTTAGGGAAAGGGTAAACTTTCATTTTTACCCTGAAAAAATGTATTGTAAATTCAGAAAAACGTTGAAAACTAAATTGAGAACTTTTTCATAAGAAATTGTTTCCCATTTCATACACACATATATACATGGATTTATGTGCCTATGTATGTGTGTATACACACACACACACACACACACACACTGCTTATATATATATATATATATATATATATATATATATATATATATATATATATATATATATGTGTGTGTGTGTGTGTGTGTGTGTGTGTGTGTATGTGTGTGTGTGTGTGTGTATGTATGTGTGTTTGTGTGTGCACATACACACACACATATTTATACAAATATATGTATATACATACATATGTATTGTAAAAAATATATATATGTATACCATATGTATATATATAATGTATATAATATTATATATATATATATATATATATACTATATACATTTATATATATATATATATATACATTTATATACATATATATATATATATATATATATATATTATATATAATATATATATATATATATTACATATTATATATACATATATATTATATATATATATATATATATATATATATTATAATATATATGTGTGTTGTGTGTGTGTGTGTGTGTTGTGTGTGTGTGTGTGTGTGTGTGTGTATATATATATACATATTATTTACATTTATACACACACATACATATATATATATACATATATACATATACAACACACACACACACACACACACACACACACACACACACACACACACACACACACACACACACACACACACACACACACACACAACACACACATATTATATATATATATATATGTATATATGTATATTTATATATTATATATATACATATGTACACATATGTATGTATGTATATATACATACATATATACATATATATTAGCATCGGACAGTACCGTTGCTGACACTAGCGTATTAATTGCTATGAATAATTAAAAATTTTATTTAAAATACAACGTTCTTGTTCTTTATAAATAAGATTTCCTTTAAAATGTATAGATTATCTTGAAAACGTGAATTACAAGAAAATAGGATGAATGCGCTTATAGCTACCGGCCAGTAGATTCATTATCACCTGGCAGTAATTAGTAGGACATATATATATATATATATATATATATATATATGTATAAAAATCTATGTCTATATATATGTGTGTGTGTGTGTGTGTGTGTGTGTGTGTGTGTGTGTGTGTGTGTGTGTGTGTGCTACTGGCCGAAACCTTGCATGTGAATATAGATGCAAATATAAATAAAGATGAATAGATATTTAGAACACACAGACACTCACACGTGTGTCTGTGTGATAACTCTCACACTCTTTTTACCGGTGGCACAGTCTCAACTGGTCCAGAATGGGTCTGTGTGGTCATTTTTTTCACGGGATTATCAGTACTGTGGACTATGACTGAGGACATTTTGTTTCTAGCAGACTTGCATTCTTTTACGTAGATATTCGAATTTGAATTTATTTTGAATTATTGTATTTATATCAGTAATAGAAAAGATGTATACACAGAAATAAAGGGGGGGACAGACGTTAGTCGACAATAATGTTTATAAATATGCCCTATAGTATTAAAACAGTTTCAATTTTAGATTCTGCTAATATGCCGTAGATTTTTGTTTTCATTGGTTCATATAAACCGTTTTTATTCAGTGGTCCCGACCAGTATACAATGATCATGTTACATGTCCCGTGTCTGTCGTCTTTGTAAATTCAGTTATTACTAGTTACGGATTGTGTATTACCGCCAATAGGTATAAGACAAGAATACTGTATGGAAAGATTCATATTTATTGATATGCGAAAGATAGTTATCTATAGGTATTGTAGGTGAGATAAAATTCAGTTTAATTTTCATATTGCTCCTTGGCCTCCAGAAAGCATGCCATGGCCCCCAGGTTGGGAATTCCCTGTAAACCATAGGTTATTGCAGTTACATTCACATACAGTGGAAGAACGATAATTTTCTATATATATTTTTTTTGTAATATAAGGAAGTAAAATTATTAGAGAAATAATAGTTATCGGCATGCTTAAAGTTTTAATTCTGACAAAAATTGATAATCCAATAATTAATAATCCATTATCCTCCCGAATGCAGAACCACATATACATATAAGTTTAAGGCACACAAGCGCCGGAGGCCCTTGCTTTTCAGATTAAATTGTGGTTTTACTGTTGATTTTATCGAGGTCTGGGCGGGAGTAGGCCTGCGTGGCCAATTATTTCTAGAACTTTCGAATTCGTTCTGCGACCTTGCCGTATTAATGCGGTGTGTTGGATGCTTTCTAATAAAAGATGTCAGTAATTTGTCAGCTTTTGTACCATTCGCTGTTACTTATGTCACAATCATAATGTTTGTGCGTTTACAGTATATTAGAAATGCATCGCTGTTGTCACCCCCCCCCCCCCAACACGTACGCATGTTGAATTTACGCGGGGAAATCTGTTACATATTTACCAAGAAAAGAAAACCCTATCGTGTATAATTTTTCCCATGGTAAGATATCAATATATCAAATTCATTAAAAAAAATTGCAAGAGTCAATCTCTGAAAAAAATTATTATCAACTGAGAAAAGAAAGTATAACTGAAATTTCTGTCCACGGCCTTAACGATCCTTCCTGGCAGAGCCTCTCGCCAAAACACATTGTAAGTATGAGAAAATATTGTGAATGTCGCTCATTTCCCATGTTTTAGTCCATCCCAACGCCACAGATAAGTATCCATGTTATACAGAACGAGGAGAGGAGGATATCCAAGTGTGTTCTGTAGCTAAATATTAACGAAAAGGAAATTTAAGCGTGACAAGAGTTCCGGCGTGGCGCTCCCTTGACAGCAGCTGCCGGGAGGGGGAAGCAGATTTCGTCTTATTTTTAAAGAGAAAAACAATTTTAACACATTTTCAGTCGTTTTTCCGAAGTCTTTTTGCGATTTTGGTTGTTGGAGTGCAATTGAGTTCGGTAGGGTTTGTTATTAGGAAGATATACGTAGTTAAAGATGGTGCTAATTTCTGTAGCATCATTACTTCAAAGAATAATGAAATGTCGAGTCTGTATTAAGAAAAGTAACCAGGATGAAATAGCGATGTACATTATACAGGAAGTTTAAACCATAATTAAAGTGGTGTTGCTGATCTGCTTCAAATAAAAAAAACAAAACAAAAAAAAACTTGAGAATGTATGTAAACATGTGGTTGGTTGTTCGTCATGGAATACATTTCTCTCCACAGATATAACTTAGCAAGAGCACAAAGGAAGCCGCCAACATGACTTCCCGTTTCTTCATGTCCGACTCTGAGACGGAGTCTGAATCGAGCGAGGAGGAGACCGTTAAGGAGCCAGCCATCTCCAGTGCTGCCTTTGTGGTAAGGTCTTGACCGAGTTTTTTTTTGCGAGTGTGTCTGTGTGTGTCTGTCTGTATCTGTGTGTGTGTCTGTCTGTATCTGTGTGTGTGTCTGTATCTGTGTGTGTCTGTATCTGTGTGTGTCTGTCTGTATCTGTGTGTGTCTGTCTGTCTGTATCTGTGTGTGTGTGTCTGTCTGTATCTGTGTGTGTGTGTGTCTGTCTGTATCTGTGTGTGTGTGTGTCTGTGTGTGTGTGTCTGTCTGTGTGTGTGTGTGTGTCTGTATCTGTCTGTCTGTATCTGTGTGTGTGTCTGTCTGTATCTGTGTGTGTGTGTCTGTCTGTATCTGTGTGTGTGTGTCTGTCTGTGTGTGTGTGTCTGTATCTGTGTGTCTGTCTGTCTGTATCTGTGTGTGTGTCTGTCTGTCTGTATCTGTGTGTGTGTCTGTCTGTCTGTGTGTCTGTCTGTCTGTATCTGTCATCTGTGTGTGTGTCTGTCTGTCTGTATCTGCGTGTGTGTCTGTGCATCTGCGTGTCTGTGTCTGTGAGTGATAATTCTTGAAGTTAGATGCCTCATTAATTGGGGGGAAAAAATGTGATAGAAGAACTTTGATTATAGAATTTCTAACATTTGTGGCCGATTACCATGTGGAGTCTTGCTATAACATCTCAGGAAAGCCTACATTCTTGGTTTCTAGTTATTGGATGAACATGTTAAGCACCGTCTTATCTTTTTTGTAATATTGGCTATATCCAGCAAGAATATCGTCTCATAAGTCTGTACAGAGTTTCAAGTCCAAAGAACGAAATTAGAGAAAATTGAGTTAATTGTTACCGAGAGCGACGCACCCTCCAGAGATTAAGACCCAAAACCAGGGTATCATGCAAACCCAGACACCCAACCTGACCTTTCCTACCTTCTATTTATTCCCTAGACAGGGAGTGAACCCCCCTGTAACCCCCATTTCTTAACACTTCGAGACAATTTACAGACAATGGACATTAAGAAATCTTGATTGTGTGAGTGTATTATGACATGCAGTGGACATTTCCCTCATTTACTGGTAAATATGAGGCCACTTCAGCTTAAACTTTATTTCTTACCCAATTTCTTACACACTATAAGATGGCTGTCTCCATTTCCCTCCATCTCGCACGTCGCTCTCGGTAACTTGTACTGAGAAGGATATGAAGTACAGATGATCATCTTTACAAGGCAATGTTTGATCTTGGGTATTTTTATTATTCCTATTTATTTCAGCAGATTTTTCAACTAAGGAATGAATGTTGCATTACTAGGTTTTTATGAGATTACTTTGTGTATTTTGGCAAAACTTGTTTAGTATATAGCCATTATCATTTTCAGTTCAGTGAAGATGAAGAAGACACAAAACGTGTCGTCCGCTCTGCAAAGGA